AAAAAAAAAAAAAAAAAAAAAAAAAAAAAAAACAGTAATAATAGTCTATCAAGTTGGTCGTTTTGAGTTTATATTATCTGAGCTCACTGTTCATCCTGTAATCAATTCCTTAGGTTTAAAAAAGAAAGAAAATAAAGTAAAAAATAAAATATAAGGTAGAAAAAAAAACCGGAATCTTTTAAAGCAAAACTGTCAAAACAGTCGAGAAAGAAAACAAAGAAAAGAGGGGTGAAGAAGGAAGGAAGGCAGGGAAAAAGAAAAAGAGAAGAAACAGGAAGGAGAAGGGAAACAGCGACCGATAGTTGGTTGGGCAAAGTGAAACAGAAAGCGGGGACGGCGCTGTATCAAACGGTGCTGCTGAGCGAATGTTTTGCGAGGTGTACGTGTTCCGTATTCATCTGCTTTGCACCTACGTGTTTCCCAAAAAATTTTGGTTATCTGTTTTTTGGTGTTGGTACTGGCAAATTGGTAAACGGGTAAAGCTGACTAATGCTGAAAGATCCCTATTTCTGATGTATCCCCCTCCTCTTCTACCATCCCCCCACCCTTTAATGTTTGTCCTGCGTTCGTAAATTTTTCGTTTCAAAACCACCTCCCTCTCCTCCTCCCCTTTACCCTCCAGTCCCTCCCCTTCCCCTTCTGTTTCACTGAAACGTCTTCGTCATCGTCATCGCCGTCGTCGCCTTCGTCGTTGCCGCCGTTGTCGTTGTCGTCATTGTCGCTACAACCATCAACTACCACAACCACTAAAACCATCTTCAAAAACCAAAAACGGCCAGTCAAAACGCTCGGCATCAATCAACTCGACACATTTTCTGTTGCTTTTCGATACGTTTCAATGCTGTTTTCATTTTCGCTGTCATTCTAGTTCATCCATTTCTTATTGCAAAAGGGGAAGGGGAGGGGAGATGGTTGAGAGAACGATGTTAAAAAAAGGGTTAATAACGTTTTTGGATGGACGAACTTTTGACTGTAAAAACGCAGAAAAATTCGTTATATGATTGAATTTTGTCCCAGCAGATTACTGCCTGTTCGATATTTCAATATACACTACAATATTTTGTTTCATTATCACTTTAATTTAATAATTTTGTCTGCGTATTTTTGATGAGTTTATGATGAAAAAAAAAAGAAAGATTTCATTAGTATTTATACGATTACTCATTTAATGGTACTGAAAATTTTGATTAGCAAAATTTTTTTCTCACTGTTTTTGTTGTTTTTGTTGTTATTGCTGTTACTGTTGATGCTGCTGCTGCCGTAATTTTGATTATTAGGGTTTTGTAATCTTCTAATAAATACTAATGGTCATCCTCTAAGAACAGAATTTAAATAAGGATGTGTACTAGAAGAAATAATTTTAACGGTTATTATTTTTTTCCATCTTTTTCTTTTTTTTTTTTTATTTTTAAGCACCTCGTCGTTCGTATGAGTGTTTTAGAAATATTAAATTTAAATCGTAATTGCACTTTAACCTCAATGTAAGACCATTAACCAGTAAGACATTTACTGATCATTATCATTGAATATCATAGTAGTTTTTATGCTTTTTTTTTTTTAATTTTCCTGACCTCTGTCTCACCTCATTATTGATTAGATACATATATTTAACCTGAAATACGATTTGGTTACGAATTTTGTAGGCAGCGTTATAAAGAGAAATCATTTGAGTAAATTTACTGCAAGTTTAGGACTGAAGAACTCGCAAAAAAAAAAAGACTAATAAATAAATAAAAGTCAAAAACAAGAGCATTTCTGGATTTGATCAACAGAGAACAGAGATTGTCGACTACATATGACAGTATTATTCTAAACGTTACTGCCAGCTTCAAGTCCTTTCATCATATTAATACATATTTTAGCTATTCGTTCTTTTCAACTCCTTTTTTTTTTCTTTTTTTTTCTCATATTCTCAGGTTGTTATTACCTGTTATATTCAGTGCTAACAGCGGTTTAGTGGTATTTGTAAAACCTTAATTGCACTAAATTTTCTGCCTTATCATCTATTCATTAAACACTTAAATACTCTGGCAAAGATGATGAGAAGAAATGGAAATCTTAAAAAACTTATCAAATACGGTAGGTTTCAATATACAATTCGAGAAGGTCAAATGTTACTACCATTTGTGCATTGTTAAATACAGATTTCTTCATTTACTAAAATCTTTTTTGTTGTTTTATGCTTTTGTTATTTTAGTCGTTAATTTAAATTTAATTATACAAAAAATAATTAAATTAGTAGTAAATCTTATAGAATGATGACATATTAAGCACATAGTCTATGATCAGTATAAATAAATTGTATTTTTTTTCTTTTGCTTTTTTTTTTTTTTTTTAGTTGCTTGTTACTACTGGTCGTTAAAGCATTGATAAATCACTTTAGTTAGGGTTCAGATTAGAACTGTAGACATTTAAGACTAATTTAGTTTTGTTGAACGGTAGTAAAACAACTCTAAACTAATGGCAAAAAAAAAAAGAAATCTTTTTTGTAAAAAAAATTTATTTTAACGCCTACTCAGAATGCTTATTGTTGAAGGCTTTTTTTTTTGCAAATTTTTTATTCTTTGTCTTTTTCTGCTGTTTTTTATTTGTACAATAAATTTTTTTCTAGATTTAGAATTCAAAAATATTACTGAGTAATTAAATTCGGGTAAGGATTAAGGAAAAATCTAAGTTTAGTTTCAATAATGTCTTTAAAACATAACATTTCAGTAGCAGTTTAGCAGCTTTTTTGCTATTACTGCTTTACAACAAATACTTAGAATTTTTAATAAAACCTCTAAGAAAAAAGAAAAAAAAAAAAAAGAACTCTTTACAATCTTCATTTAGTCAATAATATCTGTTTATCATAAAAATTTTCTACTGTTATGGTAGTCTAGATGAGGATCAAAAACCGCCGAACGACCCTGACGAAGATGCTAGCGCAAGATTGCGGCTGAAACGTAAGCTGCAAAGAAATCGTACGTCTTTTAGCCAAGAACAAATTGAAGCTCTAGAACGAGGTTAGTTAATTTTTGCAGTATTGCAGTATCAAAAAATTCAGTTTTCGCATGTTTTAACATACTTCATAACGGAATATTCAAGCCGAACAGGTACTTTTGCAGAATTTGAAAGGACACACTATCCTGATGTTTTTGCTCGCGAAAAACTTGCTACAAAAATTGGACTTCCCGAAGCTCGTATACAAGTAATCCATTTGCAATATAATTTTCTTTCTAAACTTCTCATCTACTTTTGCTATTTTTGCATAAAATACAGTATGCTTAAGCATTTAGAAAGACTGGTTTTTGTAAATACATTATAAATTTTCCGTTACTTTTCTCCATTAACCTTAAAATAGCTGGTGTAAGTGCAAAAAAAACAAAATAAAATAAAATAAAGTAAAATGACTTC